AGCCTCAAAAACTCTATGAAAGGTGTCTCTTGGTTCCCTTTTCAGCAGTTATATCTAGTAGAAGATTTTCGAAAGCCTGGCCCTTGGGTGGCAGCCTCTCCTGGTTCCCAGAGTCACTGCTTTTCCTATTGTTTGTCTCCCATTCTTTAGGTGCGAGGTTAGCATCTGGTGGTAGGGTGGGAGGAAGTAAGCTGTGGTAGTTAACTCACTGAGATGGTCTGGAAGTCTAGATCTATAATTTTATCTGTCTGTCTAGATTTATCTATTTTTTAAAGGAGAGCTTTGCAATATAATGCAGACTGGTCTCAAACTTGTAATCCTTCTGCCTCTGCCATCCCAGTACTAGCATTAGGCATGCTTCTCTCTGCCCACCTTAGATTTATAGTTTCTATAATGAGTGTACAGCATCTTGTCTGCCTTGTTACTGTAAACACTCAGTCCTGGTCATTTTCCAGGTCTCCCTGTGTTCCCTGTTCTGTTGAGTATCTTTGATAAGCCTGTTTTTGAGTGTTTCCCTTTGAGTTGATTCTGTATAGTGGGTTTAAATTGAATTTTACAGCAAAATCATCAGTCAAGAGTGTTCTGTTGGATTTGTATAGGACACAGTCATTCTTCTGGTCCCTGCTATGCACGTGACTTAGGACAAACCGGGCAGGTACTGGCAGTGGGCAACTTAGGACAAACCGGGCAGGTACCGGCAGTGGGCAAGCGCTGTCCTCCCTGTGGGCCGCCTTGAGCTGCTTTGCCGGGCTCTTCTGAAATGGGGTCTTCATGTTCCCCACATTTCCCCAGTGGTGTCAAAAGAGAAGCTGGACTATGTTAGCGTGACTTGTGTTTTTACTGGCTCCCAGTAGATGCCACTCTGCTATTAGGAACCTCGTGTTTAACATAACAAAGAATCCCGCCAGAGATGTGTGTTAGTTATCTTGCCAACCACTGGCCGTAACTGATCTTGAAACTGAAATTCCTTGAACCAGAGGAGTTGTTGAAGCAATGCAGTTCTCTCTGTGTGTCTTTCTTGGGTGTAGAGTGAGGGACAGGGGACAGAGGAAGAAATGTCCTACAACTACAGGCCAGAGTTGACGTTTTACAGCAATGAGTGGGTTTTTTGTTGTTTTGTTTTTGTTTGCTTTTAGAGATGGGGTTTCTCTGTGTATCCTTGGCTGTCCTGGAACTTGCTATATTTATTTATTTATTTATTTTAAATTATATACATATGTGTGTGTCTGTGTGTGAGTTTGTACACATGAGTGCAGGTGCCTGAGGACACCAGAAGAGGGCGTCAGGTTCCTTAGTGCTGGAGTCCCAGGCAGTTGTGAGCCACCCTATGTGGGTGCCCTCTGCTAATATCAAGTACTCATAACTTCTGAGTCATCCCCCTAGCCTTGGGTTTAGATATTTTTTAGAAGCACCCTAGCTGTGATATGGAGAACTAATTGATGATAACAGCCTAGTACCTGCAGCTCATGGTGCTGCTACCATGAGATGCCTGCTTTCGGTCAAAGCACAATAAACTCTGCTGCTGAGGTCTCTGCTGGGCAGAGGTGCCTGGACCAGTCACGCCACCCAACACTCACTTGTCACCCCTAAGATCTTCGTGTTTTCTTAGTGCATTTATTTCTCATGTGGCAGGGTCTTGAAAGTCATTTTGTGATAAACTTATGACCCCAAAGGAAAAAAACGTTGGCTTTACCTGACTGGCTTTAAAAACAGCAGATTCATGTTTACCTAGAAGGATTTATGACCAGAGAATGGAGAGGAAGACTAGCAAAGGGACTGGAAAAATTGCTGATCTTGTGAGGCTGTCATTGGTCGTCAGAGTGGTAGCATTACTGCTCCAGAGACTTTAGACACTTGAGTCTCGTCTGTCATTCATGTGTGCCCAGCTACTGCAGGGGACACCCTGGAATGAGAGGTGAAGGTGTTTTCCCTGGCTGTGTAGTCCCAGGATGCAAGGATCCGACCAGATTTGGTTGTGACTGAATTTGATTGCTGGACTCTCCCTTCCTACACTGGTCAGGGCATTTCAGATTATATGTAGCTATTCCTCAAGGTTGCTAGCTGAGGTCCCTAGGGTAAAACCTAGGAGCATTCGTATAGAGTCGCTGTAGATCAAGCAAGAGAAGGCAGATAGATAATTACACCAGCACATGCACATACATGTATACATGCACACACAAGGGGAAGCCACTGTTTGTGGATAAGTCAGGTGTATAAGTCAACAATTTAAAAATATTTATTTTTATTTTATATGTACGAATATTTGTTTGCTTACATGTATGTGTGTGCACCACATGTGTGCATGGTACTTGCAGATGCGATAAAAGAATTTTGGATTCCTTGGAACTGGAATTACAGACAGTTGTGAGCTACCAGGTGGGTGCCGGGAACTAAACCTTGGTCCTCTGCAAGAGCAGGAAGTGCCCTTAACTAGAGCTGCATCTATTCAGCCCTTAGATCAATGGTTAATATTTACAGTTGCATCTGTGCAGATGCCTCCCAAGTGGGGAGAAGTGGGGCACACCCTGTGGTGTGGACACCCCAGAAGGCCAGCAGGTCAGCAGCAGCCACTGTAGCGAGGCTCTGCCTTCGTATCCATACCAAAGCGGCTGCAGAGGACACAGTGCCCCGCTGGCCCTCCTCCTGCTGGCCGCAGTTGGCAGATAGCTGAGAGAAAGCAGCATCGTGTAGGGTGGGGGTTTGTTCCCATGAGCACCTTCTGTAAAGACCGTTGAGGAATATTACTTTAACTATGTAAAGATGGGCTGCATTTGTTTTACCTTGACTGCCTAAGGCACCTGATTGGTCTGCTAGAAAGCTGAATGGCCAATAGCTAGGCAGGAGATGGATAGGTGGGGCTGGCAGGCAGAGACAATAAGCAGGAGGAGGAGTTGAGGCCGGAGAGAAGAGAGAAAGAGAGGGTGGTGCCTGGGGCCAGCCAGGGGAAGCAGGAAAGTAGGACATACAGAATGAAAGAAAGGTAAAAAGCCCTGAGGCAAAACATAGATGAAGAAAACAGCTTAAATTAAATTACAGGAGCTAGTGGGACAAGCATAAGGTAAGGCTGAGCATTCATAACTAATAAGAAGTCTCTATGTCTGTATTTGAGAGCTGGTTGGTGGCCCAAAGAGAAAGCCTACTACAAAAGATGGCACCCTTTTAATAGTTACAAAAACTAATTTTTTTTTTTGTTCTGTGTTTTTGAGACAGGGTCTCTCTATTACATAGCCCCAGCTGTCCTGGAACTCGCTATATAGACCAAGCTAGCCTTGAACTCACAGAGGATCCACCTGCTTCAGCCTTCCCAGTGTTAAGATTAAAGGCACATACCACTAGCATTATTTTTGACATTGCCTTAAGTGTCTGATTAAGTGATCTGTGGTTGGCACAGATGGAGGCATAGGAGAGAACCTTCTGTGTACGTCTGTCACCCACTGAGCAGGGTGGCATTTCTCTTGACCCGGGCCATGCTTTCCTCTGCCTTGTCTCATCTTTCTTCTTTGGGGTCTCCTCTGATCAGCTGTAGCTCATGGATATGACTGCTGAGGTGACTTCCAGGGGACAGATCAGAGCCCCCAGAGCACTTCCTTGACCCCCACCCTATGATCTGGGTCACCAATGCCTTCCCATTGGTATCTTGTCACTTTCTTGCCACAGTCTTAGTTTGTCTTCCAATGATTTCTGAGGTGACACTCAGGGGTCTTCCCATCTTCTGCTAGACACGGGCTGTGTTCCCTTGTCAAGTCCTAACACGGCAGGGGAACTGTGAGACTGAGCCTTAAATGTTCATGGCCTTTGTCTTAGTTAGGGCTTCTGTTGCTGCGAAGAGAGCCATGACCGTGCAACTCTTATAAAGGAAAACATTTAACTGGGGCTGGCTTACAGTTCAGAGGTTTAGTTTATAATTGTGATGGTGTAAAGCATAGTGGTGTGCAGGCAGACATGGTGCTGGAGAGAAGCTGAGAGCTCTACATCTGGATTGGCAGGTAGCAGGAGAGAGACACTGAGCCTGGCTTGAGCATTTGAAACCTGAGAGTTCACCCCCTGTGACACACTTCCTGTAACAAGGCCACATCTACTCCAACAAAGGCCACACCTCCTAATAGTGCCACTCCCTATGAAGCCTGTGGGAGCCATTTTCTTTCAAACCACCACAGCCTTTTAAAAATACATATTTGCAAAAAACAAACAAACAAACAAACAAACACACACACTGGGCGGTGGTAGCACAGGCCTTTAACCCCAGCACTCAGGTAGGCGAATCTCTTGAGTTCAAGGCTAAGCCTGGTCCACAGAGCAAGTTCCAGAATGGCCAAGGCTACGCAGAGACTCTGTCTTGAAAAGCATAAAATATTAATAAAAAATAAAACATTATATTTGTAACAAATTCTTAACATGTAATTTATCTAGGTAGCCTTAGGTCTTCATCCTAAGGTGGAAAGAGAAGGAGAGCTATTGTTCTTCAGCCTCCCTCCCTCCCTCCCTCCCTCCCTCCCTCCCTCCCTCCCTCCCTCCCTTCCTGACATTTCTCCCTCTGACAATTTATAAAAAATTTTTTTTTTTACTGTGGAATTTTAAATACAAAAGGGGACAGATGGTTTGACAAGCTAAGATCTGGTTAGCTTTTTATCAACTTGACACAAGTTAGAGCCATCTGCTTTGAAAATGAACCTCAGTCTAGAAGACACCTCCATCATATTGTCCTGTAGGCAGTCTGTGGGGCATTGTATTGATTAGTGACTGATGTGGAGGGCCAAGCCCACTGTGGGAGGTGCCACCCCTGGGCAGGTCATCCTAGGGTGTGTCTGAAAGCAGGCTGAGCAAGCCATGGGGAGCAAGCCAGTAAGCAGCGTTCCTCCATGGCCTCTGCGTCAGCTCCTGCTTGAGTTCCTCCTCTGACCTGTTCATTTCAGACACATGGAGTGAGGAGAGGCACAGCTGTGGCTGGTGAGGTTCTCCATCCTTGTGATTTGTAAGGCTGTACTTTTCTCTTCTTCCAGGATCTCATTTTGCCCAATGGTGGTACTCCAGCAGGCACTTCGAGCCCAGCTTCTTCATCTTCCCTTCTGAACAGACTCCAGCTTGATGATGACATGGATGGTGAAACCAGAGATCTCTTTGTCACAGTTGATGATCCCAAGAAGCACGTCTGTACAATGGAGACCTACATCACATACAGGATCACCACTAAAGTAGGTCCCCTATTTCAGAATGTTGGGGTTCATACTTGTGCTTGTGGTTTTGTTTTTGGGCAATTGACAAAGACTGGGGTTATCTGGAGGAGGGATCCTCAGTTAAGGAGATGCCTCTATAAGATTGGCCTGTAGGCAGGTCTGAGGAGCATTTTCTTAATTAATGAGTGATGATGTAAGAAGGCCCAGCCCAGTGTAGGTGGTCCTACCCCTGGGTGGGTAGTCCTGTGAGGTATAAGGAAGAGCTAACCATGAGCCTGGAGAACAAGCCAGTAAGCAGCCTTCCTCCATAGTCTCTGCATCAGTCCTTGCCTCCAGGTACCCACCTTGACTTCCCTCAGTGGTGAACTGTGATTGGGATGTGTAGCCAAATAGACCCTCTCATTCCCAAGTTGCTTTTGGTCGTGGTGTTTTATCACAGCAATAGAGGAGACCTAGAACAATGCTCTGGGCCAGTTGAGATCCTCCTCTGCTTTTGTGGTCTCTCCTCTGGTCACCTGATTACAGATATGGGAGAGAGTGGTTACATTAAAAGTAAAAGGATTATAGACTTAGAATAGGTTTCTACTCTTAAAACGAGGAGAAATTGTGGCTGAAGTAGTTTAAATAAAACATTTAATCCCTGTAATAACTCTGTGTCATATGGTAGTTTTGCTTAATGTGTTTGTTTCACAATATGCATGGCTGTATCCCAACTTAAGTCTGTGATGGGCCCAGGGTTGGAATTTGGCCTAAGAGCGGTTAAAGACAGAAGGGAGGGGCCTGAAGCTGATGCCTGGTGACTCTGCTGCGCCGCCTGCCAGACCCATAGAGGGCAGAGCACTGGGGCTAAACTGACCAGTTTTCACAGAAATCCAAACGATTTGTGTTTAGTTAGAATTTTATAGGCGAGGAAACAGAGTAACTTGTATGGGACAACAAAATTGGTAACTAGGTTTCTAACATGATTTGTAAGACCGCCAAGTCCATATTCTTCGTCTAATTCCACTTGTAGAAACACATTTAATGCTTACTCTTGGGGTGGTGAGGATGGAACATGGGGCCCTGGGCCCGCTAGGCAGATGTTCTACCCCGAACCACATCCCTAGACCTGCACTGTCCTCTTTACTTTTGAGTCTTTTGTCATATTTAAAATAGGACTAAAATTTTAGAGTTGGAGCAGGGTTTCTTGACTGGCAGTATTGACATTTTGGGTGAACAGTACTTTGTTGGGGGGTTTCCTGTTGTAGGATGTGGTGACGTCCCTGGGCTCTGTCCATTAGATGCTAGGAGCACTTTCCACCTACCTCCAACCCCACCGTGTGGCAATCAGAAATATCTGCAGACCTTGCCAAACACTTCTGCGGAGCAAAATTGCTCCTTAATAGGAAGTTACTGAGCACATTACTAAGGAGAAAATCCATGTTGTCGCTTTGTAGTTTAGAATTTAAAAAGTGCTTTATAAAAACAGAACAAAGATATGAAAGTGGGATGGGGACTTGGTGTGGGGAGGGAGGACTTGGTGTGGGGAGGGAGGACTTGGTATGGGGAGGGAGGACTTGATGTGGGGAGGGAGGATTTGGTGTGGGGAGGGAGGACTTGGTGTGGGGAGGGAGGACTTGGTGTGGGGAGGGAGGACTTGGTGTGGGGAGGGAGGACTTGGTGTGGGGAGGG